AAAATTAATTTTGCCTTTTTTTCTTTTTCTAAACCTTTTTTCATACCCGAACAACAAACTGACAAACATTGCAATAACTACAAATATGGACAACTACAAAATAAACAAACGCTTACCAAAGCATTTAATAATAATAATAATAACGAAACAGTTAAATGAACAACAACAAAAAAAAAGCAATCAAAGAAATTTAAAATAAGAATTGTAACATTAATTTTATTACGTCATAGCAACATACGTCATCATCACATTCATTATGGAAAACATTAAAATTTTATTTCATTAAAAAAACATAAAATTATGTTTCTAATAAAGAACAGAAACAAACATAAAAAAGAAAATTTTGTTTTTTTGAATTTAAAAAAAACCGTTTTGGTTCATCATCATCATCGTGTTTTCCTTTATGTTTCTTTTTGTTTTTTTTTTCACTTTGTTTCAATGTTTCTCTGATTTTATGTTTTTAAAAATAAAGTAAAAAAAAATATTTTTGTTTTTAGTTATAAAAGAAAGAAAGGAAGAAAGAAAAAGTAGAGAGAGAGAGAGAGAGAAACAAATTTGTGCGTTTCTCATGAATAATTTTCATGAAAAACTTTTTGTACCTACATCATCATCATCATCCTCCTCCTCTTCTTTTTCTCATTCCATTTTCTTATTCCTTTTTTATACATTTTCCAGTCAAAATTTTCCCTTTCGTTCATTTACCATTATTATTCCTTTTTAGTTTTTTTTTTTTTAAATCTGGAGAAGTAAATTTTTTTTACCCTTTTTGTCGTCAACATGACGTAATAATTTTTTTTTATTTCATTAAAAATTCCAGCCAGTGTTTTTTTTATTTTATTTTGGAAAAACAAAAAATTAACTGAATGTGATTAGATTATCTGTTTTTGTGTTTATCCATAGCGGCGTCTTTGTTTTTTTATTGTAAAATATTATTTGCATATCTAAACAAAATAATAATAATAATAATTTTCATACTTGTTGTTTTTTTTTCTCCAGCAGTTGTTTTTAACCGATTTTTATCGATGTCGTCATCGTCGTCGTCGTTTTTCAATTTATTCTTTTTTTTTAAATTTTTATTTGACTCCCGTGAAAATCATGTTTTTTTTTCCCATTCGGAAAATAAATAATAATAATAAAAATAATAATAACAATAGTAATAATAATAATATTTTACATTTATTAAAAAAATATTGAAAATTTTTTGAGGGGAAACAAATTTATTGAACGTTTTTACGTAAGGGTAAACATTTTTTTTTTCGCTGGAGAAAATTCGCTTCGTGATATTTTCATTTTCAATTGCAAAAAAAAAAATACCTGACGGAATTTTACGACGACAACAACAACAACAACCGCGCTCCGTCGCACAACAAACACAATCAATAAGACGACGAAAGTTTTTTTTTTTTACTGGAAAGCTAAACACATAAATTATAAATAATATAAAAAACCGTCGACTTTTAAAACTTTTTTACCGAAAAAAAAAAAGTTAAAATTAAAAATTTATAAAACGGTGGTGGCACTGAAAAAAAAAAACAGATACCTGAATAATTTTTGCTGTTGTTGTTGTTGTTGTCGTTGTTGTAAATGAAAAAAAAAATTTTAATATTTAAACAGGAAAATTGAAAAAAAAAATTTTTTTTTTTTTTTTTAAACTTAAAATAGAAGTTATTGTTATTGTATTGTAATAAACTTTTGCTTTTTATGCATTTTTTCCGTTAAATTTTTTTTTTTTTTTTAAATGTTGCCAACTTAACAAATTTTTTTTTTTAAAGAAAACTTTTTTTCGTTAAATTGACATTATTTTCAACTCATAAGTAATCGCAAAAGTTTTAAGTAAGAAAAAAAGAAAAAAAAACAAACAGGCTCAATTTGTCGTTCGTTAACGACGACAGTAAATTATTATTATTATTAGTATTATTATTATTATTTATCCTTCGTAGAAATCAAAATCGTGACATCTGAAAGGTTTTTCCTGTGCGATCGTGTGAATGACAAGGTTGAATGTTATTGAACCTGATACTTGAACGTCACTTGCCTGTTTTTCGTTTTAATTACATCGCGCATAATGAATGAATTATTTATTTATTTATTAATAATAATAATAATGATGATGATGATTATGTTTTTATATATATTTTTTTTTATCATAAAAACAACAAATAATTTTTTTTTTTTTATAAACAAAATAATTTGGCGTTTTTTTTCGTACGTTAACTATTCCGTTTTTTTAATCTAGTTTCACGTTAAATTTTTTTAAAATGTCGGCTTTGAGATTATTATATCTTATCAAATTAAAATATTACATAACAAAAAAATAAAATTTTTTTTTTTTGCTGATAAATCCGGGTGTTTTGTTTCAATCGGGATCCGAATGAAACGAAACCGGAAACGGTTTAAAATCGTACGGTTACGTCCGGTAAACTAAACGAATGAGTTTTTATTCGCGTCTCAACAAGTTGAGAAACGGTTGGAGATTTTTTTATTTTTATTTTTTGATTTAAAATAAGAAAATAATGAGAGAGAGAGAGAGAGAGAATGAGACAGAGACAACCGCGACAAACAGCTACAAACGAAACGAATAAGAAAAAAAATTTTTTTACCACCGAAACAAACGTTAAAAAAAAAAAAAAAGGGTTTTCCTAAAAAAATGAAAACGATTCTGATGATGATATTAATAATTATAATTTAAGGTCGTACAACAGAGGAAATTTGATTACGAGGAAGTCACACAGTAGGGAGGGGAAGGGGAAGGGAGGAGGGGGGAGAGGAAAAATTTTGAATGTCAAATCGATAGAAAAATAATCAATCGTAAACATGATAGTAATTGCACGTTTACAAAATAAGGTCATCGTAACAACAACAACAACAATTGTTACTATTTTTTTTTGTAATTTTTAAACAAACAAACAAACAAACATGATTAATTAAAAAAAAAAAAAAGAAAATTAATTTTTTTTGTATAATACGAATGATATACTATATCATAAAATTATATTTTGTTACCAACCAAACGGAAACAAAATTTTTATTATTTATTGTTACTAATAAAAAAAAAAAGAAAAAAATTACCATTTACAAAAACTTTTTATAATAATTTATTTCATTAATTGTTGTTATTATTATTATTATTATTATTATTATTATTATTATCATTATTATCCACCATTAAACACGACAAGGCTACTTGTCGGGGTTTTTAAGTATTTATCCGAGGTTTCTACCCGATTCCTTAGGGACAAATACTCGAATTTCGGTGGTGCCACTTATTATAAGATAGCACCACATCAATTCTTGAAGGTCTTCCTGAGTCCATCTTTATTCGATGGAAACGATTTGTCTCCTGAACTGGGCTCCAGTGACTAACATCTTTGGAGTGGCCAGGGTCAGAAGCAGTGAAATTCACATTCTCGTCGAGCTGCCTCAGGTCGACAGTAGAACAAGATTTTGTTTTTGGTTCTTACTTTGTCTTGTTCTCATTTTTTTTTTTGCTCTTTTTAAGCCAACGGCACGTGGCGTTCTCAAACGGTCACCCATCCAAGTTTGCACCACGCCCAATGCTGCTTAACTTCGGTGATCGTACGGGAACCGGTGTGACCAGCACGGTATGGCCGTTGACTTTATTATTATTATTATTATTATTATTATTAATATTATTATTATTATTATTATTATTATTATTATTATTATTATTATTATTATTATTATTATTATTATTACTCTTTTTTATTACCCTTTTTTTAGTAATTAACGTTATCATTTTTCTTTTATCGTTTTAGTATTGTAGACAAATTACAACAACTACAAATAATTACCTGAGTCGTTAAAAAAAAAAAACAAAAATCTCGAACTATAAATAAAATAGTAATTTTTTCGATTCTCACGTGATTTGTTTTTATCAATAAAAAATTGTTTAAATAAATAAATAAATAAATTATTTATTTAAATTTAACGGTTTGTGTTTTTTTTTGGCGGTTTAAATTAAATTTTAAATTTGTAATCGTGAGATAATAATATTTTTAAACAAGAATGTTGTAACCGTTGATAAGTTAAATATTTTTACGCTGTAGTTTTTGTTTGTTTGTTGCAATTTTAAATGTATGTTTTCTAGTAGCACGTGGGTTTTATTGTTGCGTTGTAGTAAATAATCAAAAATTTTGTCTGTTTTCCTTTCCAATCATTTAAAATATTTTTTTATTGATAAGTCGCCTAAAGTTTTTTAAATTATAGATTACTATAGTACTATAGCCCCCAAAAAAATAAAATTCTCGGTCGTGAATAAAAAAATTAATTTTTGCTACCGTTCAGAACCGCGTTTGATATGCAACAAAGATAGAATCCCTGTTTGTTAAAGTCTTTCGTTCGTTTGTTTTGTCTTAGGTCAGGTAAATCGAACATAATAATAATAATAAACAAACTTCTTCATCTTACAACTCAAATTATTGTTTTTTTTTCCCCGTTACGCGCGACGATGACGATGTCGTATTAATAATAATAGTGATAATAATAATTGTCACGTATCGAACGTTTGTACGTTCTTTTTTTTTTTTTTTTTGTTTTTGCACGGGCGCGCAAAAGTTTTTTTTTTTATTAATTGACACGACGATTGTGTTAGCGTGTATTTAGAGTGGGAACGGTATTATTACACGACTGATTGAGTAAATATTTTATTTATACTATGTGGGGTCAAAAATGATATTAATTATTATACGATCACGTATGAAATTTTTTCAAAAAAATATTTTAATAATAATTCAAAGACTGTGTTAATAATACAATTGGGAAACCGTGATATTTTTAAAATCAAAGTTTTGGGCCTAAGGCCTAAGGTCACAAACAGTTTTTTTTTTTTTTTTCTTTTCTTTTTGTTTCCAATTGTATTCACGTCTTCCTTTTTTTTTTTCTAAGCCTAATAATTTTTTTCTTTCTATATATACGGATGAGTTTTCTACTGTTGAGATATAATCAGTTTGACATCTGAAATAAAATTTTATTCTTTCTTTTTTTCAAAAAAAATTTTCATTTTTAAAAAAAAAATGATCGCCGCCAAGTTTTGTTTGTCTGTCATTTTTGCATTTTTGTTTTTGGAAGTATCTAATGCTGCGGTAAGAATACGTTAATAATTATTTTTTTTGAAAAAGTTTTTTTTTTCCGTTTGATTTTATGTTTTTTTTTTTTTTGAACGTTTACAGCCCTGCCTTTCCTGTTTGGGAGCTGGAGTTGCTCCATGTTTAGGTGCTGCCGGTGTTGCTCCATGCTTTGCCGGAGGACTACCACCATGCGGAGCAGCTGCTCCTGCTTGCGTGGCTAACGCTTTTGCACCACTTCAACTTTCGTTGCCATCTTGTTTGCCACCACCACCAATGCCACTCCCAATCCCATCTTGTTTACCAGCTTCGATTCCTCTTCAAGGTTGTTCAACCTTTTCTTACCTTCCAATATGTTGATTTTAAAAAAAAATTAATTTTGTGAATTGTTATTATTATTTTCCCTTTTTTTTCTTTTTTTTTTTTGACATCACTTTTTGTTTTTAAATAATCATAATAAATAATTTACTTTTCCGTTTAAAACCGTTATTTTTTTTTACACGTACAAAAAACCTTTTACAACCTTTTTTATTCCTTACCAACGTAAATTAATCGTTGATAACATGATTTGTTACAATAATAATAATAATTTCCTCCGAGAAATTACAATAATTATAATAATAATAATTGTTATTATTATTCTACGTTGTTGTACGAAAAACCGCGAACAATATAAACGCTATAATTTTTTAATAATTGACTAAGTTTAATAACTATAATTTATAGCAATAATTTATTTTTATAAGAAAATTTAAATAGGTCAAAAAAAACAAAAAAAATTTCCCATGGAAATTTTCATAAAAAAAAACGTTTTTTTATTATTATTATTATTTAAATAAAAAAAAAAAGAAAAAACTAATTAAAATTGATTTTATTAAACTTTGTAGTTGTTGTTTTATTAAACTTTGTTTAAGTTTTACATAAATAATTTATTAAAAATTTTTGATTTTTATCTTATAGGAAATTAATAATAATTTATTTTACATGTTAATATTAAATATAAAATATATATTTAATAAGTTTTTTTTTTTTTCTAAAAAAAAAGGAACTAAAACATGAAAATTTTTTTTTTCTTTTTTCTTCTCATTATAGACTTTTTAAATAATAAAAAAGTTAAAAAATATTATTGGCTTATAATTAACTTACGACAAGGCCTTTCATTGTTATTTATTCATTTAATTATTATTGATTTTAAAGGTATAGAATTGATTTTTGTTTGTTTGTTTGTTTTATTCAATCACATATAACAATTTTCAAAAAAACAATTTTTTTTTTTTGGACTATTTTTAAAATTATTTTATCGCATTGGCGAGTATAACTACAATTAATAATAATAATAATTAATATTAAATTTTTTATAATAAAATAAAAAATTTTAACGCTTCCTTTTTTTTTCAACCGTGGAGAAATGTATTTCGCACTAACCTCCCCACCCGGTAGCAGGGAGAGTGTGGGACTCGGCCGAAACCACTACGCAACTAAAACTTCTGGACGTGTTTCCCTATGCTATTTTTTTTGGGGGGGAGGTTTCACGGGAATTTTAACTCGCATTTCAGCTTCAATCTCCTCCTGAACTAGAACCATAAGGTTCACACTCGTGAAAGTGAAAATCCTACCTGAGGAAGATCCGATACTTCCCCTATCGTCGAGATACGATCCCGATCTGTTACCATCGTTCCTGCCTCTTTCACAGAGTCTGCAAGTTTCCGGAGAGAGAGAGAGAGAGATGTCTGGGGTCGCAAATTCCGTTAATCTATCATCTGTCTTTTTTTCACCTTTCAGCTCCGCTTTTGATCAAGTATCCAGTTTCACCCCCTCGGCACAAGGGTCGGCGCATCCCCAATTCCTCTAAAGGGTCCTAAGTCACTTATCCCCTTATTTTAGGTTCAGGTCTGTTCTTGTTTGGACGAGCTGAAATTGAACTTCCACGACTCTCAACTCGGTGTCTTTTGAGCCGACTTTTCCTTTTTTTGAACTCAACCTGGCTATCTCGGGATGACCTTCAACTTGGATGCCATGGGGGCATTCAAGTTGAAGGTTTATCCCTAACGGACGCCTAGTCAACGTGAGAAATCCAATCCCAAAAACCCCCCCTCCCTAAAATATCCTCTATACTTAGTCTCCGAGTAGTTGGATTACAGGAATACACCACCTCTCCCGGCTAAAATTTAAATCTTCCCGCGTAATTTTTTTTAAAATAATAATAATAATAATTTTTATTTATCATATTGTTAATCTCCACGAAATGTTGTATTCTTTTCATTTATTTATTTAAATAAATAATAAAAAAAAAATTTTATTTTGCATAAAATACAAAAAAAAAAGGAAAGTTTTATGACGACCTTTCAACTCTCTTAACAAAAAACACATATAAGGGAAATTAATTACATGTAACGTGATTTTCATATAAATTACCATTTTTTTGTTTTTTTTGTAAATTTAATTAATTTAATCTCTCTATCTCCCCCTCTCTCTCCTTCTCTCCGGGGCGTTTTCTTATTTATTAAAGTTAAATAAATAAAAATTTTTTATTAAAACGAAAAAAAAATAAATAAATAAATAAATAATACATAAATTAACAACAATGTTTCCGTTTGAATTTGCAAAACAAAATAGAAAAAATATTAATTATTATTATTATTATTATTTTTAAAAATTTGTTTCGATCGTAATAAAAATTAAATTAATAATAATAATAATAATGACAAGGACGGAGATATGTAAATAATTAACGTGTAAAAAAAATAAAATTTTTTTAAATCGAATGAATAATTGAGTTTAATTAATAATAATAATAATAAAAGTGGGGGAAAAAATTACGTACGTAACGTAAATAAAAAATGAAGTAATAAAAAAGGGGTAAAAAAACATTAAGAAAAAACAATAATAATAATAATAATAATAATAATAATAATAATAATAATAATGAAAAGTTATTCATTTAAAAATCCCGTCGTTTGGTTAAATAAATAAGAGTCATAATTTATACTTTTTTTTTTTTTAATATTGTAAAGAAAAAAGGGGTTCGTTCGTAAGGGGGTTGTAGGGGTTGTGAGGTGGGGGGGTTAAAATTAACTACTACGCACCACCCTATTTAATGCAAAATAAATGTTTGTTTGTTTTTATGCGTGTGCGTTTACTTCTATAAAAACATATAAGAAAACATTTTTTTTTTTGTTTTTATTAAAAATTCTTGTAAAAGGTGAAAATTTATTTGAATGCAAGTCAAAACGAAACGAAAAAAAATCCCAGTAGTAAAAATAGAAAGAGAGAGTGAGTGAGTAAGTGAGAGAGAAAGAGAGAGAGAGAAAACTAATTTTTTATTAAATAAAATCGTTTGCGTTATTTTGGCATCGAAAAAAAATAAAATAAAATTTCTTTGAGAAAGTTAAAAGGGTGTGGCGAAATATCAAAAAAAAAATTAACATGTTTATTTGCATAAACGTAATAATAATAATAATAATAATAATAATGATATCCGATGGAAAAATTAAATAATAATAATAATGAAAAAGAAAATGGAAAACTTATTATTATTCATTATATTTTTGTAACGAAAAATGAAAAAAATAAGATTTATGTTTGTTGTTGTGTGGGGGAAGGTAGAGGAAGGGGGGTTTTGTCGTCGTCGTCGTCGTCGTTTGTTGTTGTTGTTGTTGTTTTTATTATATGCAAAAAAAAAAAATTCGTGACTCGAATTTAAATACCGAAAAAAAATAATAAATATTAAACAAATAAAACGATTTTTTTTCGTCATGTTAAAAATATAAATAAATAATTTGATCATTTTGTGATAATGATAATGAATTTAATAACTCTTTAAAAAAAATCATTTTAAAAACAAACAACAAACGATAAAAACGAAACAAACGAAAAGAAATAAATTTTTTTTTAAATAAGGTAAAATTTTACAAAAAAAGGAAAAAAAATCGTCTGTTTTTGTCTATTTTTTTTTTTAACACTTTCCAACATTAAACGTTTACATTTTCTCCCTCCCTTCCTCCATTCCCCTCCACACAAAATGTTTCGAAAAGTTTTATTTTTGAAATACGCTAACAACGACTTCAACAACGACAACGACAAACCCACGCACGTATATTCTTTTTTTTCCATAGGAAATTTCCACGTATTAATTTTAAAACTTAAAAACTTATTTTATATAAGAAGCAGACGGTTTTGGTTTTAAACGTAAAAATACTTAACAAACAAACACAAAACTTTTTAAAAAGAAAATTTTTTTAATGAATTAATGTATCGAAAAATACAAAAAAAAATTTAAACGTATAAATAAATATATTTATGATAGTAGTAGAAAAATTAAACGTTCCAGTTTCAATTCCAGTTGTTTCTGGAGACAATAGAATTTTAAAAAAAAAGGAAAATAAATGGAAAATCCTTGTAAGCCGCAGAGCTTTGAGTAATCCTATAAACAATCATTTAATAATCCTAAAAAAAAAAAAAAAAAAAAATGCAAGATAGATACAAACTAAAAAAAATTTTCTTCTTCTTATTCTTTTACTTTTACTTTTCATAACTTTAAATAAAAAACAATAATAATGATAATGATGATGATAATAATAATTTATAGTTTACGAGATAATTTTTTGTGGGTTTCCTTTCGACTTTATTTATACGAAAAAAAAAAATCAAGTAATTATTATTATCATTATTTTAATGATATAAGTAGGATAAACAATTTTGCAACAATGTGGCGTTGTTGTTGTTAAGATAAAAACAATTCTTTGTTATGAAAACAAAATTTTTTTTTTTCCTCTTAAATTATCATCGCTATTATTTAATTTTCTAAAAAAAAAAAAATAAATAAATAAATAAAAGAGAATAAAAATTTATGAAAAAAAAATGAAAAAATTTACGAATGAATTTTTTTTTTTTTCATAAAGTTTTTTATGAAAATATTTACCTGGAAAAAAAGAAAATAATATAATGAAAAAAATGAAAGAAAGAGAAAAGAGAAATGAAAAAAGAAAGAAAAAAAATGAACGTTGAAAAGAACTCATAAAAAATTGAATATTCTAAAATTTGTGTTTGTCGAAATTTTTTTTCTTTTTTTTTTTTTTTTTTAAAAAAAAAAATTTTTCTTCTGCTTTTTATTTTTTATTTTATTTTATTGTTCCTTATTTCTCTTGCGTATATAATTTTACATTTTCAAATCTTCCATATTTCTTTTTGTATGTATGAAATAAAAAAAAATGAAAAAGGAAAAAAAAATAAATAAATAATTTTTTATTAAAAAATAAAATCAAAAAAAATTTTTTTCTGTTTTGACTTTTTCCGCATGTGTTTGTTAGAATTTTCATAATTTTATTAAAGAAAAAAATACCACGTTGACAAACGACAAACGGAAACAAACGATCGTTTTATCATATCAAAAAAAAAATTAAATCGTGTTTTGTGATTCAACAATCGTACAAATTATACTCTCACGCTCATAAAATAAATAAATAAATAATTTTTATGA